ACAGTCCGACCCAAACTCCGCTCTTTGCTTTCTTCCTGTCCTGCCATTAGCCCCATTCACGGCTTCCTGAAAACAAAGAGCTGGTTTTTACCAGATTTACCAGTTGTTCCTCGGTGCCAACAGTGGGCTGCTGTGCAGCGCTCTCCCCATGGAGCCGGCTCTCCGTGCTCCAGCTGCCACTCCGCTCACCCAGAGACACAGGCCGCCCGCAGAGCCACCTCGCCTTGCGTTCAGGACTCGCTGTGCCCAGGGACAGCCTCGCCTGGGCCACACACCCCACCCCACTGGCTCTCTGTCCATAACAAAGGAGTCTCCAGGGCCACATCCGGACCCTGACTGCAACGCGGAAGTCCCTGCCCTAATGTACAAAAACCCTGCTTTACGGACTTTTGAGAGATCTATTTTTCAGACATAGCCTCAATTTTTACATTAATTTAAACACATCTTAAAAATGAAATCTGTGTATTTTACCTGCAAATTGAAAACAGAACTCAAACTTTGCCTGACGGAGTAAGAATTTGTGTTTGCTTTCATGACTATGCATACATAGGGTCGTTTCTCTTCCTGTCATCTCCTAAGTTTTCCTTTGATGAGAAATACTTTATTTCTGTAACTTTGCAAACCTAATCAACGGGCTTAGAGAAAGGACAGACGTTGTCTGAGTTAGAATCCAAGTCTACTCGGACCCTGAGAAAATGGTCTCAACCTCACTGATAGTCCGCGTTTCGTGCATGTGCGAGAACTGCACAGGGCGGCCGTGGGGAAACGAGCTGATGGACGAGAACCCCCTGTCCAGTGCTGGGCAAAGCTCATGCTCTTCTGGGGAAGTGCGTTTCAGGAGGAGCTGGCGAGGGTAGAGGCACTGGGCTGGTGGAAGAAGTGGCAGAGCTGGTGGGGGCAGAGGACGTGGAGGAGGAGCAGGAGCAGTGGAGGTGAGGGACAGGTGTTAGAGGTCTGTAAGAGGTGGGTGGACGAGATGGTGGGGGGGGCAGAGGAGCAGGTGGCCCTGATGATGGCGATGGGGCGGCAGTCGTGTCGGGAGTGGGCCAGGGATGGGGGGAGCGGCTCTGTGGCGTGGTAGACATGGCGGTGGCGCTGGCGGAAGTAGGGTTTGCCGTAGACGCAGTGAAGCGTGGTGGTGGATGCGGTAGCAGCGGAGGAGTGATTGCGGCAGTGAGTTCCGTGCCTTGGAACCCATGGTGACGCTGATGGTGACGAAGGCAGAGATGCTATTGGTGGTAGTAGCGGGAAAGGCATGGTCTTGGCAGTCCTGAAGGTCGTCACGGTCAGGACGACATTGGTGACGGAGCTGGCAGAGCTGGCCGTGGTGGACACGGAGGTTGTGGCGGACGTTGGCAGAGGTGGTGGCAGACGTGTTGAATGTAGACTGGTGGCGCTGGAAGCCACGTCGTGACTGAGACAGATGCCCCAGAAGTGATCTCAGCACGATACATTTTTAAAAACAACTTTATTGAAGCGGAATCAGGCCCATGGCATCCTCGGTTTGCAGTTTATGATTCCGTGGTGTTTGGCGTGTTCACGGAGCTCCGCACCCTCACCACCCTCTCATTTCTGAATATTTGCATCCCTCTGCAAGGAAACCTTTCACCCATAAGCAGTCGTGCACCCCACTCCGAGACCCTGGCAGACTTTTCCAGGCCTCGTGGTTGGGGCCTGTGGGCTGTCAAGCTGAAGGCGGCCTCTCCATTTGGAAGAAACAGCCTGGCTCCTCCCCACCGCAGCAGGTACCTGTGTGATGGAGGAGATCGCAGCAGCCCCTTGGGAAGAAAACAGGCAGAAGCAGCACTGCCGGGAGGTAACTCAGGACACCATTCATGTTTGTCTCTCCAGAGCCCGGATATTAAGAAAACCGAAGAAGAGCGTTGTGTTTGCTCCTTGTGCTAAATACACTCCCTGAAGTTCCTGCCTGTTGCTTTGCACAGCTGATGGGATGATAACAAGAAATCCCGTCTCATTGATAGTGATTAGAACACGGACTTTAGAAAATAGGGCAGTCGTCCACTTCTGGGAGTTGAGTCTAATAATTAAACTTAGAAACCGAACCTACATGACAAAGCTCCTTAACGCAGACCCGTGAGGAGAAATTAGGAAACGATACCATCTTCCTCAAAAGTTAAAAAAAAATTACATAAAATTCAACATTAATATGATTGAGTATAAGTCTTAAAGACCGTGAAGTACAGACAGTGATATGATCATAACATATGAAATGATAAAAATCAGACACAAAATTTTACAGACTATGAACCCAGCAGTGTGGGGGAAAATATTTCATTGTAGATAAACAGACTGATATGCATCAAAACGTGAATAAAATAATTCTTTTGTACAGTATGTTTCAAAGGATCCAACAGGCAAAATAACTTTTTTCCTAGAAGTAGAGGACTAAAATTAATTGTTCTAAGGGAAAAAAAGTAAAGAATGTTCTTTTTAACAAAATATTGAAACCGAGTAGAACAAAGCCAGCTGCACATGGTGTCCCGTGGTGGTGAGCGTGTTCTGTGTGTCCCACCCTGGGGAGGAAGCCAGCTGCCCCCTCCCTCCTGCAGGGCCACCTCTCAGCTGGGGCTGCAGTGTCCACCCAGCTACCCTTCCTTCCTGCCTTGGGTCCCATGGTGCCTCCGCCTCACAGACCCAGGGAGGCCGAGGCCTTCAGTCAGGATGTCTGATGGCATGGGCCTGATTTCTCAAATATTGTCATTTATATTTGAGTCACACTACATTTGACATTAAGAAACTACGAGAAATAGAAATCTGTTTGTTGGTAAATTTGACTTGTAGATGACATTTGCAGAGAAGTTAATTTTATTAATTGATTTGAGGTTATAGATGCAAATCAGTAGTTGGAATACAATGATTTCTGTGTAATGAAATTCTCAAAATCTAAAATCTTTGGATCTATTTGAAAACAAAGTGAAAAGCTATCGTTCATCAATGCAAAAGGCAGCAATGTAGCTGTGGACTCAGGAGAGCACAGGCACTCACTGATAGTAAACAAAGACTGAGCTCTTACATTGGGATCCACCTGTGCCACCTTTCCGAAAACTTTAATGGTCAGCACGCCCATTCCATGGAAATCCCTTACCGACCTGTACATGTAGTGCATGAGACTGGTGGTCAAAAAGACACAACCGGGGTCCAAGAAAACTGTAAATAAAGAAACTTGCCTCTGTGGGAGGCTGAGGCAGGGGATCACAAGTCCAAGCCCTGCCTGGGCAACTTCACCACTTAGCAAGGCCCTGACTTGGGAAAGAAACTCTAGACCCATTTTCCTGGGCCAGATGCCAGCTGCCCCTACCCTCCGATACCATGGATTCAGCTCTTCCTAGTTCTCCATAGTTCTTTTCTTTTTTAAGTTCTTAGATCTTTTATTGCTTGCATTTATAACTTTAAAGAATATAGTTGCTCAACAATGGCAACATATACTGAAAAAAGATCCTTAGGTAATTTTGTTGTTATACAAACATCATAGAGGATACACAATCCCAGAGGCCTACCACAACCACCTTACGGGCCCAGCCCCACGTATGCAGTCCACTGCCACCCGATGCCACCACGGGGCATGCCTGCCTCTACTGCAGCAGCTGAGGGAGCACTCCTGGTCATGCACTGTGTGTGAGTAGGCTCTTAAGGGTTGCTCTTTTCTCCCCTTCCAGATTATACACCTTTAAACAGGCTGCTTTGCCAAACTCTGAGAGATCTGGGTCCATAGTTAGTCCTTAAATAGCTCTATCCACATCTCCATCTATGGATCTGCCCTCCATAGCTGAAGGATTCAACCAGCTGCAGATCACAAATACCCGTGCGAAAGACACATCTGCACTGAACAACACAGACGTCTCTCATCATCTGTCCTAAACAGTGCGGCGTAGCAGCCTTTTACACGGTGTTTACCCTGTTAGGGATCCCAAGAGACCCGAGCAGACGCAAAGCCTGTGTGCGGGAGAGTTAGCACAGTTCCCTGCAAATGCCATGTCACTTTACACGTGACACATAAGAGACGTGGTCATCTACAGAGCTTGGTACCTGAGGGTGTCCTGAAATAACCAGGAACAGCCGCACACCCGTACACAAGCACACATGTGCCAATACACACCACAAACATGCATACATACAGCTGTGGCCTGTCTGTCTACAGATGCTTTGCTCCCTGAAGCATCCCTGGTGTGGCCTGGTTTCTTAGGGGAGACCAACAAGCCAGCCCAGATGCTCCTCTCAAACCGTGGCCTCCTCCCAGAATCAACACCGCTCCCTGAGGCCTCTGGGAAGGAGCCTTGCCTTCCCCTCGTGCCCGTTTTCGCCCCAGCAGCCTGGGTGCTCTGGGCGCCCTCAGCGCAGAGCCTCTCTGGTGCCCTCAGTTCCCCGAGTCCCTGTGCCACGAAGTCCCAGCAGATTCACCTCAAGGCCTCTGCTAGGTAGGGAGGAAGCCGGGCTGCCTTCGGGGACTTCCTGCAGGGAGGCAGGTCAGGGGCTCTGGGCCGTCGCACCTGCTTCCTGCTGCTGCTCACACCTGGGTGGTCTCTGGGGTAAACTGAGGCTGGTAGCAGCCCCACCCCAGAAGGACCCAGAGAGGGTGGGAGCCACACACAGTTAGGCAAGAGCCGGAGACAACCCCGAGAGGGCTCAAGCCCCACGGCAATACAGTGCTCAGCAAGTGCCAGAAAATGTTCCTAAAAGTGTCAAATGACTTTTACCATGTGTGCTGTTAGAATTGCTCCATTTTATTATTAGTCATTGGGCATCCCCTGCTGTGACCAATTTGTAAGCAGAACTTCGCCGCAGGTAGGGTCTGCAGGACAGACGCGGTCTAGGCAGGCTCAGTGGCTCTGGTTTCGGGACCTCTCCCCGCTGAACCCACACAGTGCCCGGCTTTGCTAGCCTGTCCTGCCTTGTCACCAATTCATCCGCTCTCCTGAGCTGCGGACCGGGGTCCACCCGCCCCTCAGCCTCCCTCAGCGTGCTCCTCTCTGCCTCCTCAGGCTCCAAAGAAGCACCTGCAGAACGGGATCATCCGCGGCTACCAGATCGGGTACCGGGAGTACAGCACGGGGGGCAACTTCCAGTTCAACATCATCAGCATCGACACCACGGGTGACAGCGAGGTGTACACGCTGGACAACCTCAGCAAGTTCACGCAGTACGGGCTGGTGGTGCAGGCCTGCAACCGCGCTGGCACAGGGCCCTCTTCTCAGGAAATCATCACCACCACGCTGGAGGACGGTAGGTCCCGGCTGGCGCCCTGGACGGGCTGGACGGCAGAGCCCAGGGCTTCCTTGCCAGGGTCCTCCTTGGCTGGGTCAAGCACCAGGGAAACCAAGGAAATGGATTTCTCGCTGCTGCCGCACAATCCTGACTAGAATACACAGTCTGATGGTGTAAGAAGTTCTCCCAACTGATGTTAAGGTTTCAGGTACAGCCGGAGATGGGGATAGAGAGATTTTTATTGATCTGTATTTGCTGCACACAATGGGCCCATTCCCCGTGGGGAGCTGGTCCGCGTGCATCACACACCTTATTTCTTTTTCATCCTCTTTCCTCCCTCCCTCTCCCTCCACCTCTTGGTCCTCTTCCCTTGTGGAAAAGATCTACCTCCCCACTTCCTATTATCTTTTATTTTCCTCTTTCATTTATTTATACTTTAGGTTTCTCATGTAAGAGAAACCTTGTGCTATTTAAGCTGGTGTGTTGATTTATTTCACTTAACATTATAGTCTCAAGGTGGAGCCATCTTCCTACAAGTTGATCCTTCTTTATAGTAGAGTAGTATTCATTTTTGCATTTTAGGATGGCTTTCTATGTTCAAGCATCCTGTAACCAAACGTTATTAGACTTTCTGGAGCAGTGATCGGGCGCCCCCTGGTGAGCAGGACGAATGAATTCAGCCTCCACACTATGACATTACACAGAATGGGGGGTTGAGCATTGAGCAGGAGGCTTTAAGGCAGCCAGCGGTGCTGTGTTACCCTGGTGTAGTTAGCCACTTCATCATAGATCTGGGGACGCAAATTATGATTTGCTTCTGTAATTTCTGATAATCATTACAGGTCAATCATTTTGATGACCAGAAGCTTAAGCACCAGGATTTTATTTGTACCCTCATAATCTTTCCGTAGGGGTTAAATATGCCTCTTGGGTTTTTGCTTCAATGCTGTTTTCATTAAGATGTATTTCAGTCGCTATTCTGCACCCTCTCTTAGGTGCAGCATGTAAGATCTGCATAAACTCTGTACTTAAAATACTGCAGATATCCTATTCTGTCTCTGATTTGTCTCTCCTCTAACAAAATATTATAGTACTGTATTGAGAAAGGGGTTTTGGAAGATAAGGCAGTGAGAACATGATTACATTTCAGCTTGCTCACACTTTTCAATAGTTAGACTTCCAGTTTGTGCATCAGAAGTTCTAACTATGGAGGGAACGCAGTCTGTGTATAAAGAAAACAACCTAAAGCAGCAAATTGCAGGCGTATAGGAAAATAAATCAGCAAGCCATGCTCTTCTGCTCAGGACCCCAAAAGTGAAGCAGTCAGGAAGAGACACTGTGGAATCCATTATGACAAAGCAGAGACTCGAGATATTTTACCAAAGTTTTGTGCTATTTGTGTAGGGAAGTGGCATTGTTTTTCTTCTATTTGGGGGGTTAAATGCTGTTTTTTCTTCTGCTTGTGCACTAGGATATTAAACTATGCTGCAGATTCAGTGACTCTGGTAATAAAGCCACCCGTTGTCCTTACAGACTCTGATTATTTCGTTTCAGTGCCCAGCTACCCCCCTGAAAATGTCCAAGCCATAGCAACATCACCGGAAAGCATCTCGATCTCCTGGTCCACGCTCTCCAAGGACGCCCTGAACGGGATCCTGCAGGGGTTCAGGGTCATCTACTGGGCCAACCTCATGGACGGAGGTAACAGGGTGCCGGCCCCTCGCTGAGGCGGGGCTGGGAGGAGGGCAGGTTCTCCTCACCGTGGACACTGTCTCCTGTTATCTCCGTCTCAGGGGCGCACACGGCTCTCTGAGGCATCACACGCCTTCCAGGGGCAATCACAGCACAGGAGCGGGGCAGCCCTCGAGAAAGTTAGGTGTGGGTCACTTTGCCTTTCACACGTGTCTGTGTCGAGACTGCGGGCAGCGCCCGGCCCTCCACCTCTATCTACACCAGCCTGCACGATGTGATTCCAAGCAGCTGGCGCTTCTGTTCCGCAGTCAGAACTCAGAAAGATCTGTTGTAGTTGAACTGTAAGAGTTTTCAGAAGACTGTCAGAACACCTGGAGAGGAGTGCGACGTTCCCCATGAGGAGTGTCAGTCACTGTCCTCCGCGCTGGACAAAACACCTGACGCCTGTGACTTACAGGAGCGCAGGTTTCCTTGGGCTCAGTCCATAGTCAGCTGGCTCCAAGGCAGGCAGAGTGGCAGCGGGGCCTGGGACGGGGGAGCTGCTCACTGCATGGCAGACAGGAAGCAGAGAGTCCAGGGAGGAGCAGGAGGGATGCACCCTGCCGGGCCATGCCCCAGTGACCACCTCTTCCGCCCAGCTCCGCCTCCAACATCAAGCCAGTTATAGTGCCTCTAATGATCCACTCACCTTCCAAGGGTCCTGACAATGATTCCATGGGGCTTTAGAGGGACATCTAGCGATAAACCATAACAGGGGGCCAGCACCCTCAGGCCTGGGCAGCTCAGCGGCCAAGCACTGCCTGGCAGGTGGAGGCTCTGAGCTCCATCCTAGCACCACAGAGCAAAGAGCGGAAGCCAACTCTCCATTTTTTGTCTCTTCTTCCTTTTTTCCATCCTTCTCCTCCTTCTCTGTCTTGTTCTTTCTCCTCTTTCCTGTGTGTGCACATGCATCTGTGTGTGTACATGCATCTGTGTGTGTGTACGTGTGTGTTTTCTTTCAAGCTGTGGGACAAAATTCTCATTTGTTTGGGGCCAGGCTCAGAATAAGAGACCCGCTCGGGCGCCATCCGAAGGAGGCCACGGCCAGTGTTGCCAGGACCTCCAGGTGGCGGAGGTGGAAGTGGGCCTGGGCGCTGGGTCATGGTGAGGCCCACACCCGGCCACAGCCGGGAAGGCCACGGGCTGTTCATGCAGGGGCCCCACTGGCATCCTCCCTGGCTCTGGGTCTCCCCGAAGCCCCCTCCCTGAGCACACGGGGCTCCCGGGCAGGGTGTGGCCCAGGGAGCCCCCTCCTTCCCCTCCACTTCAGTGCAGATGCAGCCAGGCCCCTGCTCAGGACCACGTGGTCTGCTCTGCCCTCGCGGGCACAGGGGCGTGGGGCGTTCTGGAGATTCCCGGGGTCCGTCCATGCTAACTGGGCCCTGCTCCATGCTGAGCTCGGGAGCAGGAGGCAGAGGCGCAGCCCACCGTGCGCCCCCGCAGAGGGGCCTGGTCAGCGTTCTCAGCCACCTCACCCCAACTGAGGAAGAGCTTTTCAGGAGGTGGGAATGTAGAGCAGTGGAGATCTCCAAGGCATCTAGCTTGCTGACAACCACAGGACGCTCTTCCATGTGCTTGTGGTTTCATCCTCACCTGAGGGTGTGACGTCGCAGCGTCCCTGGGAGTCCAGGTGACATCGTCCATGCCCCGACACTGAGACTTCCTGCTTTCTGTCAGCGTCTTCATTCCAAAGTGGATGGCTGGCTTTAGACTTCCAAACACTCGAGCATTCAGAACACAAAGAATGCTTGGGAATGCATTGAGAGTTCTTAAAGACCCTTCCCCGAGCGAGCTGGGCCAGGGGCAGACTGTGTGCAGCTCCTGTGGAGTGTAGAGGTTCCCGCGCTTAGTTTCCAGAGGGTAAGGAAGGAACTGCGGACACAGAAAGGCGCATCAGAGGGGCCACGCTGCCCGGACTGGGCAGAGGGACACTCCCAGGAGCTGGCCCTTTCTTCTGCACAGCCCCACGGAGCCCGATCCCCGGGCCTCAGATGTGGTGTGACGTGAAAACTGTCCCCACCACCCTGGAGAGAGCCACACACACAACATGCATACATCACACACACTACACACACTGTACACACCACCCAGACACACGTCACAGGCCACACACTGCACACATGACGTCCTACACACACACATACACACACACACACACACACACACACACACAGACTGAGATTCTTTCAGCCCCTGTGCTCAGTGACTGACCCAGATATGTCCCAGATAGATACAAGAAAGCATTTTGTTGTGAATGTGATCAAATAAGGTACAACAGGCTCAGTACTGGAAAGTACAAGTTAAATAGACAGTATTTTGATATTTCTGAGGTTTTTATTACGATCAGAAAGGTAAATATTTTATTAGAACAGAGGCTGCGATTCCTGGGAAAATTGTGCTCTTTGAAAAGTCACTGTTTGCACCTGAATTCAGCAACCTTGCAATGTTTTGGCAGTACTGGGAATTGATCCCAGGCCCTTCACACTGAGCAACACCTCCAGCCCTTTATTATTTTGTTTTTATTGGAGGACATGTTTGCAATACGTAATGAGGACAGTCACCGGGGACTGGTACGGATGCATCGAGCATCTCAACCCTTTCCACTTGCTCTTCACCCCTTTCCTCCCTGTCCCTCTGTCCCCAGAACCCCTTCCCCCTCCACAAAGTCTCCTGCCCAGTTTCCTATCATCTATCTTTTATTTTGTTGTGTAAATTATTTATACTTTGAATTCCTCATATAAGAGAAACCATATGATCTTTAACTTTGTTTCTGGTTTATTTCACTTAACAATATGATCTCAAGGGGCATCCATTTTCCTACAAATGATTCAAGTTTATCCTTCTTTATGGCAGAGTAGTACTCCACTGTGTGTCAATGCCACATTCTCTTTGTCCAGTCAGCTGCTGATGGCCATGTAGGCTGCTTCCAAGATTTAGCTGTTGTGAGTTGTGCTCTATAAACACGGTGTGCACGGGTCACTGGGATATGATGTCTTTCCCTCTTTGGGGAAGGTACCCAGATGAGGTATAGCTGGGTTCAATGGGATTTCTGGTTTTAGATTTTGAGGAATCTCCATCGTGTTCCACAGGGCTTGTACTATGTATTATTTTGAGACAGGCTCTAAGTTGCTAAGCTACCCGGGCTGAACTCAAACTTGCAATCCTCCTGCCTCTACCTCCCAGAGCGCTGCAAGTCCAACTGTAAGCCACTGTGCCAAGCCTCTTCTTTCAAACCAAACATGGTGCATCCCGAAAGGATGCAACTGGCAGATGTCACCAAGGTGCTGAGAGGGCTTCACAAGTTATTTCCACCCCTGTTTTGTTTTCTGCCTTAAAACCTTGTGAGGGTGTAGAAAGGTAGAAATAAATAAGTAAAGTCACTTTATTTGGAAAACTTTTTATGAAAGAATATAATCTCTACTTATACGTTCCATATTTGTTTCATTTTATTTCACTCATGGCCATATATGAGGAATATACGCACAGGTTAAAATCAACAGCGCTATGGGGCTGCCAGGGAGGGGGGACGAGATATAGAAGGGGGACGTCGGTGCCCACGGTCAGCTCTGGCTCTCCGTCCGTCCTTCTCGGTCACACAGGGTCTGCAGTCAGGAAGTTGCCGCCCGAGAGGAGGAGGGGAAGGTATGGACCAAGCCTGTGCTCGGGGTTCTAGAGACCTGGGGATCATTGAAAGTGAGGTCCTGCTGTGATCACACTCCAGTTCATGATAATTAGTTTATCAAAGCACCTGAGCCCCGACTGCAGCCTCAGCCCAGTACTTGTCCTGCTTAGTTTATTAGTTCATTGGCAGATGCAATTCTTTCTATTGCTGCTTTCCCTAAATGGACCCCGAGGGCCACACTGTCATTCTCCCTGCCACCCTCCGCCTTTCTTTGCCTCACTCCTGCACAGCACTGCCAAACTGGCACAACTTCCTCCTCTACTCTACATTTTCAGTTGGGTTCTTATTCTGTCGCCCTCCATGTGTGCAGTGATTCCCAGCCCGCATGAGGAGTCGGCCCAAGTGCACAGCCCGTCTTAACCCTCATTCCTTCTCCTCCTCTCTTGGGCCCCTCCCTTGGCAGAAGACCTGCCTGCGGCTGCCTGGCATCTGTCTTCTGTTTGGCTCCTCGTTTACGCCTTGGGGCTCTCACGTAAGGAGAGCCGTGTGCTGTTCAGCTGCGTGTCTGCCTCCTTCCCTGCATCCCACTCTCCCGCCGTCCGGTGACTTCCACTCCTCCGAAACCTGGAAGGGGGCTCCAGGCTGTCACACAACCGGGTTGCAGTCCCCCTCGGGCACACTGGCCCTCTCTTCCTATTGTGCTTTCCCCGACAGTGTGTGTGTGCGTGTGTGCGCACGCGTGTGTGGGGTCTTTGACCTAATGCAGATGTTTCTAAACCAGAAAAGATCTTCCTGAGTGCTGCATTTGAAGGTTTCCCATCTGCATTTGAGGTTTTTTTTATCTGTATCCAATTGATCTGTGTCAGGCTGAGGGAAAGGAAAGCAATAATTGAGGCCGGAGCCGCCTGTCCCTGGCACCCTGCAGGTGTGACAGCCACCTGCATGAGCAAACTCTTCTCCCCTCCGTCAGCTGCCTGCCCAAGGGGGCTCCCATGTGGTGACCTCGCCAGGAGACCCCAGGCTCCGCACCTGCCTCGCACATACACGCTCGCCCTACCTGCAGCTCACCTCGGGCCCTGGCTTCTGTGACCCTCATGCCACCCCTCATTCTCTCCCCTCAGTCCCTGGCATGTGTGACCAGCCTGGACCACCTCGTGCTCCATTTTAAATTTCCCTTTGATGCAACACCTAGTTCAACCTAGATCTTTTTGGCAGCAAAACTTAAAAGTTTTAGAAAGGAGCCCTGCAGCCAGCATAATCCCAACAGGTGACCGGGCCCCCGTGCAGGGCATCAGGCAGCGGACAGGACTGAGGGAGACGGGGCCGAGGAGTCCCCAGGCCGCGGAAAGTGCAGGGTCCGGCCCAGCCTGCGCCCCCTCGCTGCCCCGGGTCACCCGCAGACCTCAGGGTCCCTGCTCCTACCCGCACTGGACTGGTCCAGCTCCCTGACCCGGGCAGCATGCTCTGTCTCTTCCTGCGGTTGGGTGGCTGCTGCCAGGGCCCATGCAGCTCTTCCACAGGCTCATTTCTGTGCCGAGGGCTGGCACCTGAGCCACTTGCTGGCCACCTCTTCTCACTGTCCACACGCACCCAGAGGCCTCCCCCGGGCTGTGTCCGCACAAGTGTGCGCGCGATGCCAGGCGTCCCACAAACAGCCGCCTCCCCCTGGGTGTGCTGGTCCTGGGCCCCTCTCAGCAGTCACCGCTGCTCGGTAGGTGACTCCGCCAGAACCCAGGGCCACACCAGGTCAGCACTGGATAGGCCCCTTGGAGCTTCTCAGATTGCCGGTGCGGGAGAACACGATGTTCCGCCTTGGAATAGCATCAACCCATCCCACTCCTGAGAGAAAGTGAGGCATTTTTAGCTCACACCGAGTTTCTGACACATCCCTGTCACCTTCGTAGTGATGCTGCCGGGGGTTCACTCCAGGTAAAGGGAGGAGTCTGCTAAGCCCCTCCACTTAGGTCAGATTTCCCCATTTAAATATTGTATTTTCAGCTTTCGGAAGGAACACTGGACCATTACAGTTGTGTCGGTTTAAGGTTTGCCTGGTGCAGTTCCATGTCCACCTCCATTGAGAAGCAGCCACTGCGGGGAAGCTGATCATTGTATCCATCCATCCCTCATAGTTACTGTTTCCTGCCCTCAAGGGATATAAAGTTTCGGTTATACAAGAAGAATGAGCTGGGGAGAGGAAGGTGTCTTGTGACTGTAGATAACAGTGCTGCCTTGTGCTAGATGTTTGCTGGGGGGGCTAGATCTCGCTCAGACATTTGAGAGGAAGTTAGATACTTAGAAGTGCAGGTATGTTAACGTAGACTATATAAAATTGCAAAACTTGCACTTGCAGAAGTTTCCAAGAGCGGGGGCTTCCGAGAGCAACCGCGAGAGGCAGCTTGGTGTGGACCAAGGGTCTGCAACACCACACTGGACCCGACCAGTGTTTCCCAGGGAGTTCCTGGTGTCCCGGAAGTTCAGTGTGACACTGAGGAAGTGGTTACACAGCGCAGCGCGGGCCTGCGCGGCGCTGCTTGGAGCGCTTCCGGAGGGGGACACGCAGCAGGACAGGAGGCAGTGTAGGCACAGAGCAACCTGACCGTGTCTGCTCTTGTCCTGCAGAGCTGGGCGAGATTAAGAACGTCACCACCACGCAGCCGTCGCTGGAGCTGGACGGGCTGGAGAAGTACACCAACTACAGCATCCAGGTGCTGGCCTTCACGCGCGCGGGCGACGGCGTCCGGAGCGAGCAGATCTTCACACGGACCAAGGAGGATGGTGAGCAGTGGTCGGTGGGCGGCAGCGTCCTGGCTTGAACCCCCGGGCACACTGGGCTCCTGGCTAGGGGCAGCAGGTCTGGCCGGGAGCCTGGTCAGAGTGCTCACCCTTCAGCCGGCCCGCACAGCATGTCCCAGCCCACGCGCCAGCCCCAGGCCCAGGCTGCCGGGGCTCCCTGTGTCCACTGCCCCCTCTCCCTACACATGCTCCCCAGTCCTCTTGCTCTTCCTCCTCCCTCCTCTTCTTCCTCATCTCTTCCCCTCCCTCCTCTTTCCCCTCCTCTGTAGCCTCTTTTCTTTTTTTGGCCGAGTATTATTTAAACAAAAATACTCTTCACCCCCAAGCTGCAGTATCAGCTGTCCATGGTTTGCACCCTGTAAAATAGCTTTCCTGGCTCCTTAACTACCAACGGAAGCTTCATTTCCACCCTTCTGCCTGAATCCTGCATGCCAGCCTAGTTCGTATCATTCTACGTGATTTAAATCATTTAGAAGTCCTTGATAGAAGAGCTCCACAATATGTTTTTAAATTCTCACAAGGATTCACAATGATTTAGGAAAATTTTAGATCACTGCTGATGTTCCCTGGGTGCTAGTTCTTGTTGTCCATGCAATTTGGATCAGGCCATGTAACTGTACAGTTATATGAGGGACACACAGTCCCCGGACCCTGCACAGCTAAGCCAAGGCCCACTCGGCTCTGCACTTCTCTGTCTTCTGGCCAGGTCTCCATTCTCCAGGAAGCCGGGAAGGGCTGGGGAGTGTGTCAGCTCTCCTGTTGCTGGGACAGAAGGCCTGATAACCGCAACTTACAGGAGAGGTGTATTAGGGTTCATGGTTTCAGAGGGTCCAGTCCAAGGCAGAGCCACTTAGTTGGCAGGGGGTCTAGAGGAGGAAAGCTGCTCACAGCATGTGGTCAGGATGCAGAGAGCAAAGGGAGGAGCTGGAGAAAAGAGTATGCTCTTCCAGGTCACACCTGTGTGACCTCCTCTTCCCAACAGCCCCCCCGCCCCGCCCGCCCAGCAGCACAGCCAGCCATGAGCTCACCAGTGGAGGGAGCCCTGCCTGCTCCCTGAGCAGTGCGTTGTCTGCTCTCACAGCACATGGCCCTGCTGCTCTGCCTGTCTTGCATGGTGGGGGTCTGCACACAGAGGCCTGCCTAGCTTGGGCTTTTCTAGAATTCACAGATGGCTCTTCCTTAGAAGTGGCAGCCAGTTTGCTCAAAGACATTGAATTGGTTCAGAAAATCTTAAGGTCAAATGCAGTGACGTGAGGAAGTCACTCACCAATAGAGATAGTTACAAGGGGTGAGCAAAGTATACAGTCAACAGTCAAATTAAAGAGTTTATCACAGCAAAGACACATTGCCGTGAATCCCCCTGAAAATCCTCCCCTCACTTCACACACACTCGCCACATCATTCTGGGCACTTTCTGAGACAGCCCTGGAGCCCTCCTTCCTGAGTGCCTCTATGAGATCTGATCAGCAACACCACGAATGCTGCCATCCAATGGAAGGTCAGGCTCATAAAAACACGACACTGTGTCCTCATCCACCTTAGTCACCGAATCTGACACCGTGTGACTTCTGGCTCTTCCCCAAACTCAGAATGACCAGAAATGGAAAGGTTTTGATTTGGTTCAGGACACGGAGGCAGCCAGGACAGCACAACTAAAGACATCCAGGAAAGAGGACTCCAGAGCTGCTGCAGGAAGTGGCAAGAACATGGGATGAGTGTGTTCAAAGGAAGCGGGAATATTTTGAGGGGGATTCATGGCAATGTATCTGTTACTGTAACTTTTTAAACTTAAACATTGCTGGTGTGTTTGATCATGCCTCATAAACCCTAAGGAAAAACAGTCATGATTTAATTTTAAAGCATAGTAGACAAGGCCTGTGTACATGTTGGCACTGTCCCCTGCCTAAGGGGGGACACCTTACCTAAGAACTCGAGTGTCCTCATAAGAAAAGTTCCTGCTGCAGTCAGACCACATGGCATCCGCACGTTGAGACTGCAGCCGGGTGAGCATGCCTGGCTTGACAGATAGTGGGCGGCCTCCTGACAGCAAACACTTGGTCATTGCTCCCTGCTCCTGCAGGGCAGGGGTGGGATATTCTTTTGCATTGCTAAGCAGTAATGCAGATGGCACTGGGGTTATTAAAGAGCAAGTTGATGACCAACCTAAATTTTGACACCTGCATTTTTTACAAGAATGTACAGAAATCCAATAAGAAATGAAGGCTCCTCACAGCTTCTGTTGATCGGTAATTTGGGATCAATTTTTAATCAATCCTCCAGTTTTAGAAACCATACAGTTTCATCTCTGAATGTGACCCTGGGGCCCAGGGTGAACTTTGTCAATGAATTCTTCTCTGCCCCTGGATCCAGAACCAGGGTCGGGGTTTATTGTGAAGACCTTGCCTGGGGTCCACTGCTTACCCCAAGAGGGGCTGGAGAATCCACCTGTGCTGAGAACATGCAGAGCCCAGTGTCCATATCAGTCAGGGTGAATCAGCACTGTTAAAAAGAAGTGGAGCAGAAATTGGGTGGAAGGAGGAAAAACAAGTAGTGGCATGACTGGTATACCTCTCAGACTCAGGTGGAAAAGTCCCTAATTTAGAAGGGGTACGGAACTGTGCCACTGTGTGTAGGCTCGGTGTCCAATATTAATAGGCACCTGAGAAGTTCGGAGAATTGAGTGCAATTTGTGTCTGATTGGAAGGAAGGACCAAGGCTGGTACCCATAGAAGGAACGCTCATCCAGTTAGGATCACGGATCCCGTCTACACGGCCACCAGGAGGTCTCCTAATTTTAGGTTTGGATTACAATGCCAACTTCAATTAAACAGTATGAAAATGTGGAGAGAACTCCAGGAAAACAATTGCCAGCATTTATTAACTTCTCCCTTATTAGAGCATTATTTTAGTCATAGGTGGACGCTCTCTTGGGTGAAGAAAGATTAATGCAGCAATGATAAACACCTGCTGAGCCCTCTTGCCTGGTGCACTCTGACCCTAGCGTTCTTAACCCTCAAAGTCAAATTAAACTGTGTTCTTAGGTCTTAGGTCATCCCACAGAGGGAGATGCTACCAGAGTGAAGACAGAACACTTGCTTTGGCAAGAGATAATCTGGGTTGAAATGTCAGTCGCGGTCTCTGGGCCTCTGCCCGAGGACTCACTCCCAGGCACGTTCTTGGATCCGTGTCACATATTCAGGTCCGAGCCCAGATTGTAAACCTCAGCCTGACTCCACGAACATCTCAGTCAGTTTCCTTGTTGCTGGGACACGACACCTGACACTTGCAGCTTAAGGCAGGAGAGGTTTGCTTTGGCTCACAGTCTGTAGAGTCGGCGGGCTCCAGAGCAGGGCAGCATCACAGAGGAGAGAGAGTGGGAGGGAAGGAGAGACCCTTGAGACCACGCCCCAGTGACCACCTCCCCCAGCCAGGCCCCAGCCCCAACATCACATTCTCCCAGTGGACCAATCCAGTGGTGAGCATCAGGCCCCCACGATCCAGCCCGAAGCCCCTCTCTGAGTGCGGGAGGCTCTGAGGGACGTCTAGACGTGAATCCTACCACGAACATAATCTGGGGTCTGTAAGAACTGTTCAGGGTTCCAGTTCACTTCCCAGGACTGTGGGAATGAGAACTTTCCCCTCTGCTTGTGCCACAAGAGCACAGAAGGTTATTAGCAGGCGGGCGCGGTAGGAGAGCCAGCTGGCGCAGGAGGGGGTGGCGATCACACATGGCTCTGAGCGCAGTGGAGGAGAACGTGGAAGCCCGGCACAGTCCAGGCTGGTGGTCAGGGAGGGCTTCCTGGAGGAAGCGGTATTTAGCGGAGCCTGAGAGATGAGTAAGAGTCGCTGGGGACAAAGCAGAGGGTACGAGGAGAAAGATGGACCACTAGGGCCCACATCATCACACAGCAAGGGCCTGGAGCCCGCCACCTGCAGGGACTGAGAGGACCCCACGCCCGGAGAGCCCGGTGCTGGCCAGGAGGAGCCCAGAGCAGCCCTGCAGTGCCCGCAGACTTGTCCTCCCTGACTCCTTCCTGCCTTCCCTCTCTCCCCTCCTTCTTCCTTTCTTCTTCCTTCTCTCCCTTCCTACTTCTCCTTTCTTCCTAACCTGCATTCCCGGAAGCCCTTCCAGGGGAAGCACCTTAATCTCCATGGAGCCGCTTCCTTGCACTCACACCTCTTGAGTTTATGTAAGGAGTGGACTTCACGACAGCGTCCCAGGACAGGAGCTGTGCTCACAGGCAGGCTGAGCATCCCTGGCTGCTTAGTGACTCCTCCCTGGTTGCCACCCTGAAACCCGCATGGCCCTGAGTCACAGTGCACGGCGCTGTCCAGCGTGGCCCCTCTGCCCTGGCCCTGCTCCAGTTCGTGGTCCTCACGCCGGGAGCCTGAGCACAGGGCCCCGGACAGGTGGACGCAGCTCCTGGGGCCTTGGCGGAAGGGCGTGCTCCTGGGCGTGGGCACTGCGGGCTGGTGGCCAGGTGTCAGGAGGCCTCCTGGGTCCTGTGGGTGGAGCCCAAGGCCCGGGCACAGCAGGCTGGGAGGCTGAGTGGCTCCTCCCCATGTCCCCCCGTCATCGCCCCAGGTGTGCCTGAGTCCAGACGGCCCCATTTTACAAGATCAGATTGGATCTGGGGCCACCTGAAGCCCTCTTGCGACTTAATTGCCCCTTTGAACATCCTCCGTCCAAACAGCGCCACACTGGGAGGGGCCCTGGGCGGGTGATTCGGGGAGCAGGGCTGCTCTCGGCCGGGCTAAGAGCTCGCCTCTTGCAGTTCCAGGCCCTCCCGCGGGTGTGAAGGCGGCAGCCGCCTCTGCCTCCATGGTCTTCGTGTCCTGGCTGCCCCCTCTCAAGCTCAACGGCATCATCCGGAAGTACACGGTGTTCTGCTCGCACCCCTACCCCACAGTAAGTCAGCGGCTCCGGCACCTTGCCTGGGTGCCCGCCCGGTTCTCTCCCGAGGTGTCGTTGTCCCTGTCCTGTCCTGTCCACACTGAGGGCTGGGCCTCAACCGCTCCCTAATTGGTGGTCAGTGGACAGCGGCCCTTCGTGTTGCTGTGGGGCCAGCATTGAACACACTCGGCCCTCCTCCCTCCCGCTCCCCCTGGAGTCCAGGGAGGAGGAGCTGCAGATGGCTCCGCCACCCTCAGTGACAGCAGGGTGGCTCTTGGGGAGGTGAGACCAGGGCCCTCCCTGCCTCCGAGGCCACCATGATGCGTGATTGCAGCCAGGACTCCGGCCACATGGACTACACGGTCCAGCTGCTTCTGAGACCAGGTTCACAGACTTGCGGAAGGGGGATGGAAAGAACATTACACATCTCAAAACGTATGACGTCTTCATGGAAATCTTGCAACATTGTCTGAAGTAGGAGCCACCTTGTGTCTCCATGCCCCGATAGAGAACTTAGCACGTGTTGGCATTCAGTAAGTGGCTGTGGGGTAAATACACGGCCGGCAGACTGTGTTTCCATCGTGGTGAAATACACACGCTGTCAGATTCACCGCTGCCGCATTTTGGGTGTGCAGTTTGGTGGCGTCAGGGACATCACTGTTTGCATCTGCCAACACCCTCATCTCCAGAATGCTTCCCTCTTCCCCAGCCGAAGCTTGGTACACATCAAACCTCAGCCCCCGGAGACCCCTGCTACTTTCTGTCTGAACTCAGTGGAGTGAGATTCCGAAGCCAACCCTGGGCCTGGCTCACTTCTCTGCGTGTAGCATCCTCATGCTGCCTCCCTGTCGGGCCCTGGCCCCGCCTGTGAGGTGGACGCTTTTCCTGAACTGTAATGGATAGTTTGGTTCTCGGGACACATTTTCCCAACTCCAAAGTCTGTCGGAACGCCAAGGCTGTGCACCCCACAGGAGGGCCAGGGACAGGGCCTCGAGGGCTGTGTGCCGCTCACAGTTCCAGCCACAGGGCAGAGGAGGGCAGGGAGAGGCACCCACCGTCCAGGTGGCTGCGTCCTGAGCCCCCTTCCCTGACCCCCCCACTCCTGGCAGCCCGGCAGCTCTGCGCATCCGCTGATGAGTCTCCTACCCTCGTGGTCACTCAGCTTCCCACGCACCTGCTCTGAGCCAGCAGCTGCAGGTCTCTGCACACCAAGGAGCCCTCCACAAGGCCCCTGCCTCTCTCGCCGGCCCTTCCCTCCCCACCGGATGCAAAAGCCCTGCTGAGGACCCCTCCAGCTCCATCTGTATTTTCACGCTTTCATCCGTCTCTGCTGAGGGTCTCACTTGAATTTGCTGTTTGACTCCAGCGAGTGGGGAGGAGGTAGCCAGGGCTCAGGCCAGCTGCAAATTCTGTCTCCTCTCCTGGGCCGAGGAGAGGAGGTGTGGGCTGTGTACTCAGCAGGAAGAAGTTGGGGGAAGTCGCCTATCTCTAAGGGGAAAGAACCTAACTTTCAAGCTTCCGTCTCACCGTTTCATGAGGTACACTCTCCAAAAAGGAGTGCTGCAGAACCCGGAGACAGCAGCAGCTGTGAGGTGGCACGGGGTGGCTTTCCCGGATCCTCGCCATGGGTCCCTGGGCACAGAACTCACGCTGTGAACCAACAGGACTGTCTCAGCGACTCCCTGAGCTCAGAAGAACCAGGCAAGAGGGAAACGACCAGAATTCTCACCCGCTGGTGCTGCGGGACCCCTCTAGGTCTCCGTGCGCTTTGTCCACATCAAAACCCTAGAGGTGTAGGAGCACGATGCTCACCGGGTCCCCGGGCCTTCTGGGCCGTGTCATTCATTCATTTTGGCAGGGAAACCCATAACACTAGCACTGCCCTCAATCCAAACATCATTTACGACTTGTTTGCCTGAATTAAATAATGCCTTATGAGTCAAGATCAGAGAACATTAACACATTTGTTTTCAGCAAGTGAATGCTTATTAACTCCATAGAGGAGTCTATTTTGTAATAAGGAACTAACAAGCAGCTATAAATTCCTGAAGGGTGGTTTTTTCCTCATCCTTAGTCTCTGTAATTTCATTTTAACTCAAAAAACGACACCAGCGTATTTTCTGCGATTTGTGTGTTTCTGCCTGCGTCATAATGACCACCAGAGGGCAGCACCAGCTCTGTGCATGTCCCATGTTCCTAAATCTGAATTATTTCTTCTTTGAAATGACTTCATCATTGGATGTAGAACATAGGAGGATAAATCAGGACGCAAGATGCCCTGTAATTTCATCTCCTTGTAAGAGTCCCTTGGGGGATCCCTTACCGTTGTCCAATTTCTCTCAAGATCCCCGATTCATCTTCCTTCTTTGAGAAAGGACCGTAAGATACACGCTTTTTTCTCTAATATGTTAAATGCATTTCCTAGTAATGTGCATTCGTTTCCCACTGTTCTCTCAGGTCTGCTTAGTAGAGTAGGCTAGGATTTGCGGCTTTGGGGGTAGCAGGCGTGTTACGTTGCTGTGAAGGGCCTGGCTCAGTTGCCAGTTGCCTAGAGCAGGGTTGGGCCCCGGGAGCTCACCTGAGCATCCAGCGGATGGTGAGACCCCTCGTTTCACCCCCAGACAGAGAGGCAGCAGCAAAATCTCCACGTTCATTTGGGTCAGAACCTTGGGCACACAATGTACGGGCTCTGGCTATTAATTTTAATATATAATTGTCTGAAGTCTCGATTCCGAGCTGTCATAAGCAGGGAAATCCCCAGGACTCAGGCTCACCAGGAGGACATGCACTGCAGCAGCTGTGAACTTCTGCTGCTCTTCGCAGGCCCGCTCTGTTCCACTGAGTTTTAGCATAATATGCGGTTGCCAAGCTATTTGATTTTAAAGTCCTTTCTCCCTTAAGCCAAGCACAGTGGCACAGACCGTGTACTCCCAGCATGCTGAGGCTGAGGCAGGAGGATCCCACGCTCGAGCTCTGTGACCCCTTGCTGTCATGCCCCTCTCCTCTGCTTGGGCTCAGGTCCCCCAGCAGAGCCTCTCCTCTCCTCGGCATCAGGCACAGTTCTCCTTTCCACTCTGACTGTGAGCATCTCACCCTTGTACAAATCCCTTAGGTGATTTGTCACTTCTTACTTTAAAAGCATCCAGAATCCTTCTGTACGGCCCCGACAGATTTCCCCGCCAACTCATCCCACCTCCTATTCTGCTGACCTCCACACTGGTATCTGAGCCACACAGAAGATGCGAGTGTGTTCAGCACACGCACAGGGTCCTCTGGTCCACCCGAGTGAAGGCTCAGCCTGAGCGCGAAGCTTTTGTTCCCATGCTGGGTGCTAGCCCTGTTCCGGCCTCTCCGGGCTGAGCGCTTCCCACCAACGAGTTTCCGGCTGCTTGTGGAGACCACAGCAGGCAGCGTGCATTACATTCACAGCACAGCAGCATACACAGGGCACACACACTCACTAGCCAGTGCCCTGTGCCTCTGCAGTGGATGCTGTTCTTTCCTGCTGTACTTTGAGCATGATGGTCACATTCCACTGAGTTGCTTCCCCGACCCTCATTCTAAAGTGCTGTCTTTAGTTCAGTGAATTCTAAGGACTTGCGGCTGTACTCGGGAGGTGTTGTGACTGCTGTCTTTACTGACACTCAAATGGGGCTGTGCCTCTGCTTGGGGCCACACAGTTTGGCTTCAGGGTCTGGGCTGAGCATAGGGTCCACGTCTTCCACAGGAAGCCAGTGCCATCCATCTGCACACTCACTTTGATCCACCTGTGACCTCCCTCGTGAGCAGGCGTGAGCACGCGTGGGCCTCCACAGTGCCTGCCGAGGTCTCTGGAGCCTGGCCCTTGCTCTGTCACTGCCATGCCTTGCAATACCTGGTGTGTGCTAGAATCGTGCAGAAATACAGCGTGCATAGCTTTGTGGATTCTGGCTGTGAGGCGCCCAACACAGGTCAAATGGCAAAATGAAGTTGCTGATTAATAAGGCGGGAAAGTTGCTATAGACTTGGGGATGCTTCTGTCCCCGAAGGTTCAGATTAAACTCCTGTGCTTATAAAACACCAAATGGACGTCACTCTGCTGTCTTCCACCTGATGAGCTCACAGTGGCTGTCCTTGTTCTGTGGTGGAGACTCTGGAAAAGAAGCCACGAGCTGCCAAAGAGCCGCTCCGCAGCCACTTACACCTGTGCAGCTCGCCAGGCCCAGGAGACTTCGCTGGGTTCCTGCGGCAGGCGCTGGCTAGGTGCCGAGCTCAGCCAAACCTTTTCCAGTCCTCTGGGCTCCAGTCATGGTGTCACAAGGTGGAAGAAATCTGCAGAAGTTTCGGCGCATCCATCCAAACATCCCAGACTTATGGAAATAAATCCTGGTTTATGAAAGCTTAGCAAATACACTCTTGAAGCTTCTTTGGAAATTCCCTGTATTCCCAGTCAGTCCCAATGGAGTGATTCTAAATCTTCGGTAAATTTGTCATGCTGTGATTTACATCTCTTTATTAGCCTTCTGTTCTTTGGGAGAGGGGAGGGCAGTCTATTGTCTTTCAGAACCCTTTAAAACGTTCTTCATTCCCCTTAGAGCACCCTTAGGGAACCAGCCAACTGTGCAGCTGGTACTGTAGTTTTCTTTTCCTGTTGTCACTGACAGTCACTAGTTCCACCAGGCACAGCCTGAAGCCGTCCAGTGGCTGTAACTGCTCAGCGCAGGAGACCACTACTCAAAGGGGAGAAGAAACCTCCATCTTTCCCACCCTCAACCCGGTCTGGTAATCCCTGGAGAGCAGGCCCTGCATGGCAGCAGGATTCGGTGAAGCTGGGGAAGGCCTTTCAGAAGCCCGACTGCTTGCCCTACTTGGCAGATAAAGCACCAGGAATCCTGGCGCTAAGATGGCTTTCATTCACCCCAGACAGCCAGCAGATGTCGCATGGACACGCTCCTCTCCGCCTGAAGCTTCCTCAGTGTCTGAGGACTCACATGTCCTGAAAAGGAGAAGTGACTCTGTTTTGGAGCATTTTTAGG